AGGTGTGAGCCGTATCAATGAACGCCAAGTTCTTTCGAACGCTACTTCTGATCTGCTACCCCGCTCTCGCCAGTCACTATTTCCTCTCTGTGCCATTTATCCTCGAGGCGCTGTCGCGGGAGGAGGTGGGTCTCAACATGCTCCAGCGCATGCATTTGGTTAGCACGGGCGGTGCACCTCTGCCAGAGGCGGTGGGTGACTACCTCGTTCAATGTAAAGTTCCGCTCGTGTCGCGACTGGGAAGTTCGGAATGTGGCTGTGAGTGACTGGTTGGATTCTCGCGATCGTCAAGAGCATCTTCACTTGGCACTGAGCCTATCCCACAAATCCTCTAGTTCTCATGTCTTCTTGGCGCGACTTTGAGCAAGACAAGGAGTGGTCTTGGCTAAGGCTGGTGGATGAAGCTAGCAGAGAGTGGCTGCGCTGGGAGCAGAGACCCGAAGAAGGTGGACTTTACGAACTGGTCGTGACGAGAGATTGGCCGACGAAGGTGAGGCGCTTGCACTGTCTGCGTCTTCACTAGCCGCCTGCTAATAGCTGCCTTTGCAGATGGTTTCGAATGCTGCGGATGGATCCTTCGTCACAGGGGATCTCTACGAAAGACATTCGAGTGACGAGACAAAGTGGCGTTATGCGCGTCGGGCTGACGACAGTTTGGTCCTTGTGAGTGTAGCGCAGGGCAGGAACCGACTTTGCCCCATTGTCTCTTGTTAAAGGTTGACTTGCTCTGCAACGGCAGATCAATGGGAAGAAGATTGCATCTTCGCCAATCGAAAATGCGTTGAAAGCCGTCGAATCGATCAAGGATGCGATAGTCTTTGGAGCGAATCGACCCATTCTCGGCGCCTTGATCGTGCCAGCGGGTTCTACATCGAGTAGAGAAGCCAGCTCAGAAGCAGACTTCCTTTCCAGCTTGGCTCCGGCACTTTCGACCATCAACAGGAAGCTGCCCAGCCATGGCAAGTTGACGGCCGAGATGCTTCGTGTCGTCGACGCTGCTACTTTCGAGCGCTTGCCTAAATCGTCGAAGGGCACTCTGCAAAGGGGCATGGCACTGACGCAGCTCGAAGCCGTCATAGCGGACACTTATGATCGCTTTGACAAAGGCGAAGCGCCGAGGAGGGGACCGCGCGTCTCGCTCAGGGGCGAGCAGCTTAGGAATTGGTTGAGGGAGCTCGTAGCCGAAGTGGCGGATCACGACATCGCACTCGAAGATGATTTCTACAAGTCTGGCATGGATTCAATCATGAGCGCCAGGATACGAGCGGCTCTTTTACAGGTGAGCTCTGCTTTTTGCCGTGGAAGCGATCCCGGTGAGGTCGAAGACTTTTTACGCTTCTCCTTCTTCCGGCAGCGCCTTGATCTTGGCACGCGTCGGCTACCACCAAATGTCGTCTACGAGCAAGCGAACATCGAGCGGTACGTTCTCGAGCGAGCGTGGCGGTGACGATATAGGTGCTGAACGCCGAGTGTCCATCCCAGTCTCGCCTCCTTTCTCGAGGGTGCAAGCTCAGACGGTCCCGCAAATGTCCAGGATCTCGCTTTGTCGTTGGTGCACAAGTACTCGACCTTCCCGCCTCAGCCTCGGACAGCGGCACTGGGCGCACCTGATCCGGCAACAATACTACTCACAGGCGGTACGGGGGCTTTGGGTGCCAGGGTGCTTGCAGAGCTACTTTTGCAGCCTGCAAACGAAGTCGAAGCGATCTACTGCTTGGTGCGAGCGCAAGATGACGAGCGGGCCTCGACCAGAATCTCGGATGCTCTGAAGAGGCGCCAATGCGAAGTGACCACCGAGCAGGCCCAGCAGACGCGCCTGAAGTGTCGAGCTAGACTTGATGAGACCACGAAAGCAGATCTCAGCACAGCCAGACGGCTTGTTGTCATCCATGTGAGTACTTTTGACCGCCGGCGTCTTTTTGCCCAACCTCATGTACTTTGCCTCTGCAGTGCGCCTGGGTGGTGAATTTCGCCCTCAGCTTATCCTCTTTTGAAAAGGACTGCATCTCTCGTGAGTCGTTCCTCACGCATGTACTCAAAGCACTTTGACAGTATCGCAGCTGACCCCGCTTGATTTGACACAAAAGCGCTCAAGGAGCTCTTGGACGTTTTCATTTCGAGCTCTTCTCCTGCTCGCTTTGTCTTCTCATCTTCTCTTGCCAGCATCTTGGCAGGTGCAGCCCCGCATCGTGAGGAGCCGAGCGAGCACGTGTCATCAGCGGGCTCGACGGGATACGCTCAGTCAAAGTGGGTTGCAGAAAAGATCTGCGAAGCGGCCGGGGAGCGCGTGACCATTGCTCGTGTAGGGCAACTGTGCAGCGACACCAAGCATGGAATATGGAACGAGAGCGAGGCTTGGCCCTTGCTCGTGCGCACTGCGAACGAGACGGGCGTCTTACCAGCCACGGGGCCTGTGAGTTTCCCCCCCAAAAAAGGGTCAGCTGACCTTGGTACGCTTGCGCTGCGTCGCAGCTCACCACCTGGATGTATTGCCTTTCAAAGGATCTCGACTGGCTACCCGTGGATGCAGCTGGACGAGCCTTGGTAGACCTAGCCTTGAAACAGGATGAAGACAAGTCGACCTTGTGCCACGTCTGCACGCCGCAGAGCTCGACGCTTCCGAGCTGGAGCGACTTTATCGCTTGGCTTGGCGAAGCAGGTCTTCGGTTCGAGGTCAAGTCGAAGGAAGCATGGCTCGATGCTGTGCGGAGAGCAGGCACAGGTGTTCGCGGACGAGCGCTGGTTGAGAGCATCTGGGCCAATGTGAGTGAGGTCGGCGAGTCGGAAGGACTTGCCTTTGATCTGATCAGCCCTTGTTGCCTCTCAGCTTCCGACCGCAGGCTCGGACAGCACCGTGGAGACGACTCGAGCAGAAGCGCTCTCGGATGCATTGCGAAGTGCGCCAGTTGTCGACAGAGACCACTGCGCCAGGATGGTTTCCGCTTGGAAAGACACTGGATTTCTCAAATGAAGTTGCAGCTAATCACATGCCTTTTTTTCCGCAGTGA